CAGTTTGTGGTTTTGCGGTTAGAAAGCCTTGCAAAAGTCCGTTATTTTTAAGCACGTGTTGTCCGAACCTTATCGTCCTTACCGTGCTTATATCGAACATACAATGTAACAGCGTGATTCATGAAGGATACTGCGTTGTTCGTATTCGGACCGTTATAAAGTATTTTATATTATTTATAATTATATATATATATATATATATATATATATATATATATAATATATTATATATAATATACACATATATATATATATATATATATATATATATATATATTATACTTATAAACAAAAAAATGTTATAAAATTTATATCTATTATATATATATATATATATATATATATATATATCTGTGTATGTGTGTGTACATATAAAACTTTCTTCTCCGAATGCATTCAATAACGGAATGTGCACCAGCAGACTTCTTCGCAGAAATATTTACAATTTTCTTGCAGCATTATCATGCGCTTGTGTGAACAGAATGATACATACTTCTGTAAAGAAACATATGGAAACTATCGTCGCACAAGATGATTTTATATCACACAAAAGTTAACTTTCGCATCCTAGATATAATGTTGGCAAAATCCTAAGATATCTTTTTCAAAAGTTAAATCCGATATCGAAATTGAATCTCGCCAATTATAATCTCTATCTCCAGTGGCACTTTAAACTTTAGCCCCTTGAGACTTAATACAGTCGCTTTATGGAAACTCGATGGCTTGAAGCATTGTGAAACAAATCATAAACGCAAGCAAAACAATTTGTGCAATTTCATTGTGAATCTTAGAAGGCAAAATCTCGATTATGTACAAGTGAAAATTAATTAAAGCGCCAGATATATAATTTAAGATCGTAGTTCTCCTTGCGGCGCAAGATTTCTGGAACTATAGTAGTGAATGTAAATTAAAACTGTTTTAATGATTAAACGTGGCGAATTGTTCTTGTGAATAAAAATGAGTTGCATGTGGTAATAGGTGATATTAGAATCCAGTATTTATTAGTACCTACAAGAAATTCAATATGTATATCATTTCATCAGATAGATGTGTAAATGAATTTCATAAAATGCACATAAAACACAAAGTGAACAATATATTGCATTTAGTAAGTCGGTAGATAGATTTCACTTGCAGATAACAAAATCAAAAAAAATATGTTCATCTACAATTATTTTGAGCGGATTCTCTACGGGTTTAATTAAATTATAAGGGTTCCATCTAAATATGAACATTTAGAACTGGTATCCTTTGACTACATCAAAATTCTCATTACCAGCACTTTCTAGAACGGCTATTTAAATTTGTGGAACGTAGCTATTTCAGCTATCTACAGCATGTTCGGTAGATTAAGCATTTTCAAGTGTTTTGAAGTAACCACATCAGCTTTAGTATTATGTGAGATACTATTAGAACACCAAATCCGTACATTTTAGTTTGATAAAATATTTACAACAGCAATATCATAAGTCCAATTATCGAGTCAAATCGTAAGAATTTAAACAATAAATAAATGTAATTATTTCGACAGAGTATTAAGATGATACAATTGAATTTATGTAGTTCATGGAGCTATCTAAAACAGGGGTAATTAGTAACAGGCATTTTTAAATAAGATCTTAAATAAATCATATTGCAATATTTTTTATCTCTATTAACATGCAAACGTTCCTGCATCATAGCTACTGTCCTGGAGGCTGACGCCATAAACAGAACTGTGCAGGTCCGTCATTTTTGACAGGTAATATAAAATCGATATATTATAAAATTTAGGTTTGTTCAATATTGACTAACCTTCAATTATATATATCTTATTTCGTTTAAAGTTCATCAATGTTTCATAATGTGTAACAATTTTTATGACTGCAAAATTGTTTAAATAGTTATCTTGATTGAGTTACAAAAATGGAGCCTAAGTTGAAACAAAACCTTGGGACTAGTTATAATATACAAAAATTAAAACAAGATTGATAGAATTTTTATTTTGTTACACTATATCTTTTATTTTTATTATGGTAATAATTGTGGATTACGTTGATTTATCATATAAGTTTATATTATAAAAGACATTACTTATTTTATTTCATTTGTAATAATTATAATTTGCATTGATTTATTAAAAGAATTATTTAGAAACATGTCAATTTTATTAACACTAAGAAGAGAATGAATTTTTATAGTATTTCTGTCGATTTTTGTCGTTGCTACGTACCCTGGCACTTTTTCTAGAAAATGATTAATTGTGAAATAATGAACAACAATAGTGGAATTATCCTTACTTGATGCGGTGAAGGAGTTAGAGCAACCATTTATTTTATTTCGTAAAAATATATTTAGTGGATCTCAAGATGTATTAGTTAAGAAAAACTGTAACAACAAGTCCCTTGCTCCTCTATACCTACTAAATTAAATAATTTTGCGCTTAAATCTGAAGGTTTTGTATGCCACAAATCTTTACATTCCAAAATAATGATTTTGAAATAATAACTCATGCCATACTAAATTTTAAATAATTACCTTATATACTATTGCTATTTATACATCCAAGTCAACTTTATTTCAAATAAAGTTGTATAACACAAGTTAACCTGTCAATGACTAAAAACTTCAGATGAAATTAAAATAGTAACAGAGGAAACCAAAAACTTGTAAGAAATGAACTATTACCACACTAAAATAAGAGTTTAATACAAGTCTAAAAAAATGAAATGTTTAAAAAGTCGAGATGCATTACGCTGTTTGCTCTCAATGCGGTTAGTATTTTAATTAAAAAAACTTTAAATTATAAAATTTTAATTAAAGAAACACTCAGCGTTGCAAGAAGTTGAATAATTGTTCTGAATTAATAATAAAAAGCAATAAATATGAATTATAAATAAGAAATAATAATTGAGAATAAATAAATTATAAATATAAAATAATATATGTTTGATAATATTACACATTTATTTTAGTTGAATTATGTCTTCACGTATTGATTATATACTTACTTTGTTGATGATAATGTAAATAGCCTTTTAAATTCGGCATCATTTGCCTGAATTTTGTATTTTAGTTTTTCTAAATCCATATCGTACTAGGGGCTATGATATGATGTAAATTTTGTCACTACAAAAATTGTTTTTAGATTTATTTTGCGACAATCCAATAAGAAAATGCAACATATGCAAGGGAAGTAACAGCTGATGACGCCGAAGGCAAGCAAAATCTTTCTCTGATATATTCAATGAAAAATAAATACATTTGCAATATCTAGATTTATATATGCACATTGAATATGCATGTTTAAAACAAATTCGCTATAGAAAACTTAAAAAAATGTATGCATATAGCGGTATTCAAAAATAAAATTCACTATCACACAATTTTTTTGACTGACTTAACTCATGGCAGAATGTACAGTATTTTGGAACATTTAAACAAAATTTATTATATAAAATCAACAGAAACCAATATTTTAGATTCTACATTAGCAAAAAATTGCATGTATATAATACGCACACGAAATCTTGAAATTGGCGTTTCTTGTAAATGAATATGAACAAAAATGTACTATGAATAAAATTTAGAAAATTGGCTGCTAAACTTGTAAAATAATTTACATTATCATAAATAAAATAAGTTCTAGAATCAAATGTATGATATTTGATACAACTGTAAAGGCTGTAATAAAGTTCATAAAAAATTGATGAAAATTACAAATACCGGTATTTGCTTTCTCAAATTGTTTCTTTAAAGTTTATATAACAAAATAAAAATTTAAATTTGTGATAATGAATTTCGATCACTCCAAACCGAATTTACTAAATAAAATAAACTAAAACCAGTGTCTTGGATTCTACGATAAGCGAAAAATTAAAATTAAAAATCGCACTTGAAATCGTGAATATGGTAAAAATGTATCTGAACATCTATAAGGGAAATTAAGTGAACGAAGAGATTTTAAAACGTAATGATATGAGCAAGATATATATATATATATATATATATATATATATATATATATATATATAATTATTTATTTAAAATCATTTTATTTTATTAATTTTCCGTTGAGTACATTATGATAATTGCAAAAAAATCAAAATTTTCAAAATCAAACGTAAATTTTTGAATATCTTTACGTTTTAGTGGTTTCTGAATATTTTTGCACACCTCATAAAAATTTATATGTATATGTATGTGTGTGTTTGGAAACAATTCTTTGTCCACGATATGAGGAGCACATATCAACTGATTTGAATAATTGAAAAAACATTCGATTTTTGTTGATGGGGGGATGCGCTGGAGATATGAAGCAAAAAACGCGAAAACAACCAGTCTTTGATACAACAGCACATCTAATTGGAATAATTAAAAAAACTTGTGACTGGTTTTAACTAATGACTGAGTAAATAATTGATTACTTTTTTTGCAAAGTCTGGCGGTCTCAAAGATTCGGAGCAATAAGCACAAGGAATATTAGTTTTTGATATAACGGCGCATCCGTTATATCATATTCAAAAAGCATTTTGATTGTGTCCACGGTGTTAAAATATTTAAAATATTTAAAATTTTGATGATAATTATTTTTATTTTGCGAATGGATAATTTCTGAAAGAGAAGTTCCAGATTGCCTTTTAGCACAATGCAGTCACTACCCGTTTAAAAAAAGTTTAAATCCAGTTTATTTATTAAAAAAAAAATCAATTCTGTTTTCCAACACATCGTTTTAGCCAGTTTGACCAGTTTATAAAAATTTTCGAAGTAAGAGAATGTAAAATTCACTGTCATGTTTGAAAAATTGTTAATGAACACAATTCATTAAAAAATATAATAAAAATATAATCGCAATTACGATCCAGAAATCATCAATAAACGTCTGCAACGGATTATCATAATGACATTTCAAATACAATACACAATATTAAATAGAACATGCAAAACATTCAAAATACAAAATACCATATTATTCAGTACAGAGATAATTAATTATAGTAATAAATGATAAAATTAATTACCAGTGACGTGATTAGATAGCTATGATAATCGCTCATCATTCCTATCTGTTGAGCTTGTTTGAGAACATCGTATATTCTATCGGTTGAACAGTCTAACACGATATGTGACTCTGCAGAATTCTTGATTTGCTTAAGCAATGGTCTGAAATTATACAACGTATATATTAGAAATGTTCCATGAAATCTGCAAGATAAATATCTCATTAGCAACGAGGATAATTTCACAAAAACAAAATATTTCATATGATTCAGGATGAGAAAGTTTCTGCAGCCGACGTAATTGTAATAATATGGTAGGTATGTGGAAAGCTTCATTTGCATTAAGGCTTAAGAAGAGGATAAAAACGACTATAATAACGTAAAAAACGTTGTTAATGCACTATTTTCTACATAAAAAGATACTATTTCAATGTTTTCACATATCTATGTTATTTTCAGAGATAAAATTTGTTATTGCTTTTATACAAATTTCGAAAGTGTTTATTATAGACAAATTTAATATCATATGAGTCATTATATGAATACGAGACGTCACTAATGCAATATTTTCAATTGAAAAATGCAGAATTTAAAATTATGCTATACTTTTTGTAGATATAATTAACTTGCCGTAGGGTAAAGATTAGCAATCTCAAAAAAAAATCGAAAATACATTTTTTTCATATTTTTAGGTTTCGAAGGTTTCTGAACATTTTGGCATACCTTAGAAAAAATGTATATGTATATGTAAATGTATATGTTTGTGTTTGTGTGTGTTTTTTCGTCGACGATTTTAGGAACACGGGTCAACCGATTTGAATATTTCAAAAAACAGTCTATTCGTATAGATAAGGAGACGTGCTGAGTGAGACTTTTGGCAAAGGTAGGTCTAGCCGTTTCGCAAATACCGGGCAAAAATGACCGAAATTGATTTTTTGAAAGAGCGGAGCGTCCGATTTGTGTGAATCAAAAAACATATTATTTGTATCGAAATGAATTTTTGGGAAACGTAAAATTGAGGTAAATCGAGTAAAAGAAGTAAAAAAACATGCAATTTGGTAATCAAAAATAATCATTAGACATATGCACTTCAAACCATATTGTAGAGATTTTAATAGTAAGTATCGATTTTGATCATATTTTTATGGAATCCGTAATAATGTGTGTCCGTTAGACTGCGACGCAGCGCATACGCGCTTCCATATTTATCCCTATGCATCTAAATATAGCTTCCATTGCTTTGAAGAAAGTTCAAAATTTCAAAAATAATTTAAAACATAAAACATTTTTTTTTCGAGGAAACCATTCTTTTCAAAAAAGTCATTTTTTTAAATAATTTTAAAATAATCAAAAATCAAGTACATTTAAGGTTTAAAAATATTATATTTAAAAAAAATTAATGTTTGGTACGGAAAATTCCAGCATATTGCCTTAAGGCAGGATGTCATACACTACTAGTTTAATATTATTTTTGCAGTAACTTAAATTCGAAGCTATAACTGTATTTTGCTCTGATTTGGAAATTTTTGGTTCATAAATTTATTATAGACTAATCTTGTATAATATCTTGTATAATTCGTATAAAATTATATATTATATTATCTTTTGTTCAATACCAATATTACTTTGAAGGCAGAATGTTTTAATTTAAATTTTTATTGTTGCTTTTAAAACAAATATTTAAACATTAGAGGCACATTTTGATTCAATAAAAAAATTAAAACGATTTTGACGTCTCAATTTGGTTTTTCTGAATTTAATTGAATAAAAGTTAAATTGTGTTGGTGCTGATGTTAATCTTCGAAAAGTTCAATTCGAATATATGGATCAAACGTAAAATCTAATATTTCAATTCAACATGCGGTAGGTATAATGTGAAAAACTAAAAAAAATCTTTTCCGGCAATATATCATGCTCGTTCAATTTGGCCGATGTTTTTTTTCCTTTCGTTTGCTCATTTAAATACAAGGAATAAATCGAAGTGGATTAATTCAAAAAAACCTAAATTGAAATTTGCCCTAAAAGTCTACATAAACTTTATAAATTAAGACACGTCTGATCAAATATATATGGTCAATTTTATTTTCCGACTAATATTTTTTAAATCGTTCAAATGATACAAATAATGCGATGAAAGGTTATAACAGTAAAATCTTAATCTTCTAAATATCATTAAATCTTTAATTAATTATGATTATTTTGGCTCAGAACAAAAGTAGCATTGTTGCTAGAAAGTAATCTAATGTGGGTATAAGCAAATGTAATGAACATATTTTTATATGTTTCAATAATCATATTTTAGTAAATTACTTTATATAATTTAATAAATTTATTTATTAAAAACTAGTAACTATTTAAATATACAAACGTTTTCATGCTCTCCTATCTGTATTGCCACATATTTTCAAGCTAATACTACCGAAACGATTTTAAAATAGTTCGAATCATATTAATTGGGAATGATACTGATTAGTTTTAAGTGCAAATCTACCGAGCCGTTTTCTTGTAATTAACTGTTGAAAAAAATATCAAGTCGATTTTTATCGAACTTTTTTTGGCGATATATATCATAGTCTTATAGAACTTACTGAAATATTACGACCTTAGGATAAGTAGTTTAATTTTTAAAATTCATCTAAGTTTGAGAAAATGAGAAGCTTTTTGACGTGTGTTAAAATTACTATTAGACAATTTACTTGGTAAAACGATAGAGTACTTAGTCTTAATGAACATACTAAATCATTAAAGTCCTACGGAAACTGGTTCAATTATAAATATTATTGATTTTTGAAAATTTGCTTTTAGAAAATACTCCGAGTTAATGTGTTCGTTTGTTTGCAATGATATGTAATAAATCCACTAGGAATACTTACACATATCGGGAAGTTCATGTAACTCAAGGCAAAATACCAATATCAACTAGTTATATTAAATTTTATATATGCAAAATATAATTAGTTGCATAAAATAATATTATGGCAAAATATAATATATGATATATGTTCAATGAATATCTACATAATGATAAGTTTTCTGATGATTTGTTCATTGGAAGTATCATTACTTTAATTTTCTGATTAGTCACTTCATCTTTTGTCGCAAGCATAAAAAATCCAAATGTTTATTTAGCATCAATAATAATATTGAAACATTTCACGTATTGTGTTAAAAAAGGTCGAGTTCAAGTTTTTTGCTCTTCATTTTTGTTCCAAACGCAATAATCATCTAAATCCAGCCTGACGACGCAGATATCTTAACCCAAAAGTTTTATTTCTCCAAAAAGTTATCAACTCCTAATTCTATATTAATCGACAAAATAAAACATTTCATCAGAAGCTTATAAGAATTTATGACATTTAATTAAGATTTAATTAAAAGGATAGCAAGTTTTACCTGTGATCTGATCCTTCGCCGAGTTGATGTACGGCAATCGGAAACTCCGATAATCCATGAGATTTAAGAAGTTCCTGAAGTCGTACTAGGCCTTCGTTGTTCTCGTAAATAATCGTGAAAGTCCTCCAGCCCCAAGCCTGGACTAAGTCCACATAGGCCTGCGGAAAGAAATGAAGAATAATTACTTATGTGTCTATAATACAAATTCGTGGTACAGATATTTGAACATATAAATCATTAAAACTTGGATGAAAACACAAGGTTAATATAAATTCAAATAAATTTTGTACAGATGATTTATGTGTCTACAGCAAATAACTGATGCTCAAAGATTCAAAGTTCTTGAGCATGGGTCAAATATTGAAGCAATATAATTTTAGTTATAATATTATGCAAAATAACTTTTTAATACAAATATACTCATTTAAAACATTTTTCTTAAACATTAATCTTAAGACCATAACATTTCGATCTAATTAATTCAAATGGAAATTCAGTTTCTTTTAAAATTATCATGATATAGGTTTAAAATTCTAGTACAGCTCATTGTTTCAAACTTTATTGAATTTTTATAATTAAACCAAGTTTTGTAGGCCCATAATATTTTAGGATGTTCATCAAGACCATGAACTCAATCATCATACAAAGTTTTATTAATATCACAAAAAATTTCAACAATTACTTATGGAAAAAAAAATTTTAAACTTTCAAATTAGGTTATTTAGGATTTTTTGCGAAAATGTGGACAAAAAGTTTTATAGTTTTTATCAAATTCGAGAAATGAGTTTGCAATACTAAAAACTTTTAATACTTTAATGAATTTTACATACTTAAGCCAAGTCATGTAGGCTCAAAAGTATGTCAGGATATACATCATTAAAAAATTTCAACAACTACTTATGGAGAAGTGTGTTTAGGATTTTTTGCGAAAATGTGGACAAAAGGGTTTTAAGAAATGACTTTGCAATACTAATCATCACAAGTTTTATCCAGTATTATCGAGTTCTTTTCAATTTTCGAAACCGGTTCAGTCGTTTTTAAAAAATCGCCGATGAGAGGTCAAATTTTCGTTCACATACATACATACACACATACTTTTGCCTATATTTAGATCCAATCGGAATATATAGTAAAAAACTAACTTTTCTTTCAGAAAGTTAGTAACACATTCTATCTTTATAAAAGCTCATTTTTAAAAATGCTGCAAATTAATCACTGTTAAATATTTTGTTCCAATTTTTAATAATCATGCATTACACAGGTTGTCCCAGAACTTAACGTCAAGCCCAAACAGAGTGATAGTAACGATCCTCTCGCATTAAAAAAAAGGAAAAAATTATATAACGTTCTTTGAAAATTATGAGTTTTAAGTGCAACCTTGTCTATGGTGAGATTTTATTTCGTTTTTGGTCATTATGGTACCAAGAATTACACTCCTGATAAAATGCACCAACTTATGATGAAATTTGTCAACACACTAGTACTTTTTTTTAAAGAGGACCTCTCCCAATCGATCGACTTTAACATTTTTAATTGATATTTCAACAAACAATCTTAAATAAAGTCTTAAAATGGCAATTGAATTATTATTTTTCACTGTAGTCCCAGAAATGTTATTCACGGTTACGAAGGTTTTCAGTAACCATTATTTAAATACAAGTATGAAGCTCCGGTTGAAAATAAATGAGAATTTATTTCAAATGCAAAACTTGAATATGACAATGACTTGTCAATGCTTTCACATTGATATATTCACGATGAAATCATTTCTATCTCTAGTGAGCTATAAATATACATATAAAAATCGAGCGATACTGAAACTGACTACATTGTAGAGCGTAAAAAGCATCGTAAAAATATATTAAATAGTAAACTTTTCTCAGTGACTCCGAACGATGTAATCATACTCATATAACACGTACTCTAACTTATTGAAATTTTTTCATAACTTTAAAAATGTGAAATCATTGTGAGGTTTTCAATAAAATATAGTAAGTAATAAATGAAAAGCGGTGTATGGCAAATTGATTATAGGTACTTACCGTATCATAACTTAAAAATTTTAAAAGCTTAAAAATTTCGACTTATTATAAAAATTTGAGATTATTGAAAAAATTCGTTTTTCTTGAGAAAAATCAACTTTTTTTGAAAAAAAAATCGATGCGACTTTATTTTCAAAAATTTTTTTTTTGAACTAACAATAAGTAAACTCAAAGCATTATAAATCATGGTACGGAATCAAATGAATTGGAAACAAAATTAGTACTTGTAATTAAAATCTCCATAAAAATCTCTTGATGTGCTTATTTCTAATGATTATATTTGCCCAAAAATGGCATTTTTAAAAACTTTTTTCCAGGATCTCCGAAAGAGCTGGACCCGCTTTTGCAAAAAATTAATCAATTCTTTGTTCCGACAATTTAAGTTGAATGGGTTTTGATTAATTAAACTGGGCTGCTTCGTTATCTCAAAAATTGAATTACCACTTTTGTTACTGTTAATTGATATATTATCTTAATAAAACTCATATAGAAACAAGTTTAAAGTGATCAATCTAATCTAGCCATCCGTAGCTGGGGCAAGTTGCACCAGTTCGGATTTTCTCTTCTTTTTTTAAGTTATCACTAGAACTTGGATTCGTCAGTTTAAATCCATTTTAGGAATAAATTGATGGATTGATAAATTAAATTTCTTCACTTCAAGTAATGTGAAGATAATATATCACAATGATAGTAAGGTAAAATAAAGTAGTAAGAGACAGCGGCTGAGAGACCCTGCACTTATTCTTATACTTTTTATATTTCTAAACAGCAAATATCATAACCATTTTTTCTACTTTTAAAGAACAATTAGAATTGAGAGTGCTATTTTTAGTGCGGTTTTTAGTATAGCAATTATCCTCATGTATTTAAACTTATTGTGGTAATGCCAAAGAAGGTAATTTTCTCCTTCAAAATGTATTTTAAAATATCTTTGTGAAAATGAAATTGTCCGAAATGAGATATTGAATACGAATATCAAAAACTTCTGTTTTAAAGCTTGCTTTATATCATGTTGTCAGAAGTTATGGATAAACGATATTTCAATGCTTTACATCCCAATACAAGTATGAGTGTAATAAAAAAAAATCGCACATGATATAAAATATAAACTAGTGGTGCATGACATCGTGCCTTAAAGCAAATTGCTGGGTCTTCTGACACCGAAAATTAGTATTTATTGAAATTAGAATTTTTAAAAAACCTGAAAACTTTCAAAAAAACACAGATTTTTGAGAATTTTGAAAAATTTGAATTTTTTGTTATTTTTCGATTTCATACTTTTTCTGAAAATTGAACTTTTTTCAAAGCAATCCAGAAATATCAAAGCGCGTAAGCGCCGCATCGCAGTCTCTCTAATAAACATTTGTTCGAAACCCATAGATATGTAAATAAAATTTATATTTATTATTAAAATCTCTATAAAATATCTGATAAATTGCAGTGTCTAATGATCATTTTTTATCACCAAATGGCATTTTTTTACTTTTCATTCGATCTCTGAAACTGCTAGATCTGCCTTTGCTCAAATAAAACGGTACTTCACTTTGTCAATACAAATAAAATGTTTTTGAATTATCCAAATCAGACGCTCCGTTCTTTCATAAACAAATTACCCATTTTGGCTTTTTTGCGCCTCATTTTCGAAATGGCTAGACCTGCCTTTGCCAAAAACTAATCAGCACGTCTACCAATCAAAAAAAAGTGTTTTAAATTATTCAAATCTGTTGATCCGTATTCTAGAAATCGTCGACTAAAAATTGTATCCGCAAATACATGCACACAGAGACATATGATCCATTTTTGCTAAGATATGATAAAATATTCAGGAACCTCTGAAATGTGGAAATATATATAAAGGATATATGAAAAATTTCATTTTCTATTTTTTTGCGATTACAATAACTTACCCTACAGGAAGTTAACTAGTGTATAAGATAAGTATAAATTCTCTATATAAAGTCATATAAATATTCATTCATTTATTTAATTACAACAGCCTTCCATAATACATTATACGGTGCCTCGAAAAACGATTTTACGTTGTCAGAAACGTCTCTCGCGTATTAAAATCTTTTTTCTTCTCACAAAAAAGAATTTAAGTGGTTCTAAGTTTATTCATCCAGCGTTCTTCCTGTTCATCTCAAAGGCAAATATTTATCATAAATTAATAACGTCGGCTAAAATAAGACTTGTCGACTAACTCAAACACACCACGAGTCACCGACACAAAACTACCATCAAAGGGTACTAATTGTTTGCGAAAGCTTGCTAAGAATCGCATTAAACTGTTCAAAGGATCTTTGTATTTATAATTGATAAATAAACAGTGCACAAAAAACAACAATCTACATGAAACGCTAGTGAAACTCTCCAAAGGTAAGTTACTGTATTTCAAATATAACTTAATTAACTTCCCGAAGAAGTTTATGTTTTCATCAAAAAATCCGAATGGCTAATTTTATGTTTTCTCGACGTTTCAAGCCATTCTGAATCGAATGAGACCAAATTTGGAAAAAGTATGTGTGTGTGTGTGTGTGTGTGTGTGTGTGTGTGTGAACAGATTTTTTGCCGTAAATCGACGTTTTCTCCAAAACGGCTGGACCGATTTCAAAAATTAAAAAGCCATTTGATGTATCTCGATGAGGACTATCGTCTCTGAGTTTTGTGCGGCGACCGGCCGGGCCGTTTCTTTGTAAATTGCAGAAAAGTGAAAAATTTTTCGCCCACGTTTTAGCCCGCAATTCTGAATCGATTCTGAAAATTCAAAAACCGTTCGATAGATATTTATTGGGAATCGTGCTGATTAGTTTTTGGTGAAGATCGGCCGGGCCGTTTTCTTGTAATAACGTTTTCAAAAAAAAAATTTCGACAATTTTTATGATTTTTTTTTTGACGGTAGATACCATAGTTTTCTAGGTCATACTAAAATATTACGGCCCTACGACAACTCGTTTAGCTTTAAAAATTCGTCAAAGTTTGCAAAAATTGGTATAGTTTTTTTGACATTTGTCAAAATTAGACTTTTGATCGACGTTTTCTCAAAAGCGCCTGAACTGATTTCAGAAATTTAAAAGCCATTTGATGTATTTCGGGGAAGACTATCGTTTGTCAGTTTT